GAACCTGGTAGTCATCTGCTCCAGGTTTGGTCTCCTTTGCTCATTAAGTTCCTGACCCAACAGGTAGCAGGCAAAACAACCCAACCCAACCCAACCCAACCCGAACCAACCCAACCCGTACCAACCCAACCTGAACCAAACCAAAAAGCCTCTATACCAGGGTGAAAGTTAAACTGGTTTGACTTTCATGTTGAAACATGACCCCATTGAGCCTCCTATTTTGGGGGCTGTCATTTAAGCACAACCAAGATATTGCCCAAGCAAACATATGGCTCCCAGTCAAGGACTTCATTGCTAATTAGAGATTTCTTTATTAGGTAGCTGTGATTTGTGTCAGTTTGTACATACTGGAAGACAAGACCTTTTTGAAAAATACAACTTCATATTAAAAAATTTTTTTAAATTTTATTTCTGAGACAGAGAGAGACAGAGTATGAGTTGGGGAGGGCCAGAGAGAGAGGGACACACAGAATCCGAAGCAGGCTCCAGGCTCCGAGCTGTCAGCACAGAGCCTGACGTGGAGCTTGAACCCATGGACTGTGAGATCATTACCTGAGCTTAACCAACTGAAGTTAGACACTTAACCAACTGAGCCACCCAGGTGCACCAATACAACTTCATTTTTAATTAAAATTAATCTATGCTTATTATCAAAACATTACAAATACATATACAAAAAAGAAAAATAATTGATAATTTCATAACACAGAGGAAACAGTTAATGCTTGTGCATTTTCATTTAGTCATTTATATATGTTTATGAGTATGTGTGTGTACATGTTTTTTACACATTTGGGATAGTAATGCATATGCAGTTTTATTTTTTGCTTCTTTCCACTTTGTATTATATGTATTTTGTCATGTCGCTAAATGAACATGCTGTAATTTAATTATTTACTCGTTATTGAATGTTTATGCTTTCCTAAACTTTCATTATTATTAACATATATTTATATACTAATTATCTAATTGTTGTATCTCTGATTATTTCCTTTAGAGTCCCAGAGATGGAATTACTGGGTGAAAGGATACAGCACACTTTTAAATAAGCACATTTGGTACACATTCCTGAAATGCCATTCAGAAATCCTGCTGTAGTGATTTGTATTCCCACCAGCAGGGTATGATAGTAACTATTTCTTTGCCCCCTAACTCCCATACAGCAGCACCGTCCACTAGAAATATAACATAAACCAGGGGCGCCTGGGTGGCTTTGTTGGATAAGCGTTGGACTCTTGATTTCAGCTCAGGTCATGATCTCACAGTTGTGAGAGATTGAGCCCCACTTGAGCCCCACATTGGGCTCTGCACTGACAACACGGAGTCTGCTTGGGATTCTCTCTCTTTTTCTCTCTCTGCCCCTCCAGCTTGCTTATGTATGCATGTGCACCTCTCTCTTTCTCTAAAATAAAAAATAAGGGGGCACCTGAGTGGCTCGGTTGGTTAAGCATCTGACTCTTGATTTTGGCCAGGTCATGATCTCACAGTTCATGAGATCAAGTTCCACGTCAGGCTCTGTGCTGACAGTGTGGAGCCTGCTTGGGATTCTCTCCCTCTCTCTTTGCCCCTCCCCTATGTTTTCTCTTTCTCTCTCTCTCAAAATAAATAAACATTAAACAATGATAAAATAAAGTGAAAAAAAGGAAAATAGAAAAAAAGGAAAATATCTAAAAAAGAAATATAATGTAAGCAATACCTGTAATTTAATATTTCTTTTAAAAAATGGTGGCCAAGTGAGGAGATGATATGCTTATTTCCTTGACTGTGGTAATCATTTCACTATGTATATCAGATCAACATGTTATAGACCTTAAATCATATATAATTTATGTTAAAAAATAGAATTAAAAATGTACTAGTAACCACATTAAAAGAGCAAAAAGAAGCAATTAATTTTAATAGTTATATTTAACCCAATACATCCAAAATATATCATTTCAACCTGTGATTTATATAAAATATTTACTGGCTTAGTTTGCTTCTTTTCTGTGCTAAGCCTCTGAATTCCACTATAGAGTTTATACTTTACAGCTTATGTCAATTTGGATGAGCTATATTTCAAGTGGCTAGTCATGACCATAATGGATAGCATAGCCATAGAGGATTGCATTAAAAAATCCCTTGCCAATTTTATCGGAGGAAAAATAACAGTCCTGTGTTGATTTGAATTGCAGTTCCAATTACTAATAAAGCTGCATATTTCCTCACATATTGTATTTTGGGAAATACCAACAGATGAGTTATCTCTATATTTAGGATGTTAACCCTTTTTATGTCAGAGTTGTAGAAAACATTCTTTCTTCCCTTCATCTGACATTTTTCCAAATTTTTGGTAGTGAAGTTTAAAGTTTCTGTATAATCAAATTTATGTATTTTTTCTTTGTGGTGTCTTTCACTGATCATATGCTTAGGAAGTCTTTCCTCGTTCCAAGACAGTTAAATATTCACCTATCCTTTTTGTGGTTTCAGTTTTTTTCGAAGCTCAACTCTTTTATCCATCTGGGTTTTATTTTGGCTTATGGCACGAGGTAAGGATGAAAAGTTACTTTTGTTTGTTCTGAAAAAGCTAATTTCCATAATACCATTTATTGAATAATCCATTCTTCTTCTTTGATTTAATTTCTTGTTAAGATTATCTGGGCATTAGGGTCCATTTTCTCTGATCTGTCGTCTTGATATTTCTTTGGTGTCTGTGTTTATTACTCCAACATTTTAATTATTATGGCTTAATAATAGAGTTTAACATCATTCAGGGTAAGTTTCCTTTTTTTCTTTTTGTTTTGTTTTTCTAATATTTCATACTCACTCTTGCTTGCTTTTTCTCCCAGAGAAAGTTTAGAATAATGTTGGAAAGCTCCAAACAATCCTGCTGACAGTTTTTCTATTGGTGGTATTACTAGAAATATTAAAAAAAAATTAATGTTTATTTTTGAGAGAGAAGGAGACAGAACACAAGCAGAAGAAGGGCAGAGAGAGAGGGGGACACAGAATCCAAAGCAGGCTCCTGGATCTGAACTGTCAGTACAGTGCCTGATGAGGGGGCTTGAACTCGAGAACCTTGAGATCATGACCTGAGATGAAGTCAGGTGCTTAACTGACTGAGCCACCCAGGCGCCCCTTATTAGAAATATTTTTAAACTACATATTATCTTGGGGACTATTGCTATCTCCCTAACAGCCACTCTTTCCATTCAGATATACTGTTTCTGTCTCCATTATTCAAATCATTTCTGTTGCTCAGCAGTGTTTTCTAGTTTTCATCATATAATTTCCTTAAGTTTCCTGTCAATACAATTAGCAGGTTATTTAAATTTTCTAACTGGTTATTTTTGGCTCATAGGAAGTGTTAAATTTGGAATACTTCTCTCCTATCTAAACATTATAGGGAACTCATACTATTTGTAGGGAGCTGTTTTGTGAAAAGAAACTGTTACGGAAAGAAAGCCACTAGGAGACTTACCCTTAGTTAACAAAGGATATAAAAAAGATACGTTATTAGGCTTTAAATCAAGGATAAGTGATTCCTATATATACATCTCTATGTTCTTCCACCTCTGGGCTCTGAGAAAACGCCTTGAGCTGTAGCACACTCTGCTTTTAAACCTCCTTTCTAATCAGAAGCTTTCCGACATTCCTTTGCCTGCACCTCTGCCCCCTGCTTCCCTGAGCTGCTGAGATTTAAGTCTCTTAGGAAGCACAGCTGCCCTTTTATTTCACTAACTGACTACTCCGTTTGTTTGAAGGCTGGTTTTTCCTGCTCTAGCAGTCATGAGCTCTTCCTGTGCCTTCTCACCACCTGATTCAATTTAGACTAAATTCAAAAGGCAGAACGTGGCAAGGGTCCAGCTGCCCACCCTGGATTTCTATGCCTCAGCAAAAGGGCCTGATCAAGAGGTGGAAATGTGGGGCTGCTGGTCTGCATTCAGCCCACGCTATGCCTCCTGACTCTCCTCCTTAGCTACTGCTTCCTTGATCGCTCCCCGCCCCTCCTCCTCTCTGCTCCTGCACCCCTCTGCCTGGGCTCCTAATGGTTCTCTCACCACAAGATGGCTTTACCAAACCCTTCAGCTTCTGTTAAAGCAATCAAGCAAATCTGCTGCTGACACTGTTTTAAGTATTTTTTTTTCCTTTAGTTTAAAGTCTTTTTAAACATAAATGATTTTGAACAGTTAAAGCAGCAGTCTTTTCTACAGTGACCTCATTAAATTCTGCTTTTGCTCAGCTCTGGGGCCCGTATGTGACAGTTGATTCCAATCACTGAGTAATTTATCTTGGAAAAATGTGTTCTATGCCATCAAAGGTAGAGGAGGTAGTAAATTTTAAAAGTAAATGATATTAATTGTAAATAGAGAATGTGAGTATACTTAGAGACACATTACACAATAGCTTCATGATAAATTTGCATTGACACTTTGTGAGAAAACAGTATTTACTAACAGAAGCATGGTTCCATTCCATATCTATTACCATGCCTTACATGAGTTTAACATTTTATTAAGCGTCTAGTCTATTTCACAAGAATCTATGATTTGCTAAGAGTTTGGTTGGACCATGGGAAATATATTATTTTGGAAATGGTGTATAATCTCAGAGATTTCATCATTACTATCCAAAAGTATGAATATTGTCCCTACTTCTTTGTGAATGTGCAGGTACCCAAGCCCATGATGAATTCAAATCTAAAACTAAGAGCAAAGTGATACTTTAACACATCCACAACAAAACAGACAATTCTTTCAGCTTTTTTTTTTTATTACCATCTCTATTATTTACCAAATACTAAAATTGGTTCGGCATTGTGCACATCTGATTTAAACAACTGATTTTGACTTTCTTCCCTGAAGGGTACCCAACTGTTTAAAAATTAAACCAGTGACCTGGTCACACAAATGGGTATCTTTATACTCTCTCTCCTGGGACCCTAACGTCAGATTCCCTCAGATCTATAGTAGGATACTGCATCAAGGCACCTTGACAATGAGAGACTACCTTTACTGTAGCAAACAGTTCAGTCTAGAATTACAAAGCAGCCTCTGTATTCTTCATGCAAAGGAAACTGACCATTTTTCATTTCATACATCATTTACACCGTGATACAGTGATTCCACAAAATCACTTGACTTTAAAAAGAACAAAGGAGACAGAAATATTCCTTTCCTAGTTCTAAATGTTCTGTACTGTGTAAAGGTGGACATGTTGCCACACACTTCATTTCCTTTGTTCTATATTTAAGGCAAAGGTAACATTTGTAAGAAAGAAGAGTGTGTTAGAAACACTCTTTTTCTTTAACAGTGTTAAGTATAAAGTTCCCTTTATGGGGAGAACTGAGGATATACCTTAAATCTAGATAAACTCAATCATGTGAGAGAGAGAGATTCCAGGGCATTTGTTCAAACTATATTAGTAAAAGTATGGCTGATTAATTCAGTAGGTACCTTTCACAGTATTTAATCTGCTTGATCCACAAAAGTTAGGAGTATGTGTCAGAAATTTTACCCAGATCTGGTATTTCATACTGTTCAACTTTTGCCTAAAACCAGCTGGTATATTTCAGTAAAAATTTATGGGTCATAATTATACAGTAGTATTAAATTTGAGGGCTTTCTATTGGTGACCCAGTGGCATGTCAGCTTCCATTCAGTTAAACAGTTTCATTGGTATTTTTTCTAATTAGAACTTTTAGTGTGCAATACATTCACATGGCAAAAAATAAAAATAAAAGGAAAGATAATACATTTCAGTAAACTTGGAGAATCGTCAAAGGATGGTTGGTATAGGTGGGATTTGAGGAAAGAAAGGGTAGAATTGGAATTGGAGAGCTGGAATGAGAGCTTTTGAATGGATAGAGAAATTCATTTGGATAAACAATGGGTAAGATATGTCAGGCAAGCAGCTAATAAATATTGTGCTTAGTAACCCATTGTGTTGATCGATATTTCATCTATTTAAGATACTTCACAGTTGCTTATGATAGTATTATGTACCCAAAGTTGGATTTGGTTTTGAAACCTTTTTTTTTCTCCCCTTATGTGAAGTCAGAAAGTACTTTTGGCAGCATTTTTCATTTGTAAGTTGGCTGTTTTTTTTTTAATATTCTTTAAGTTTGTTGAGAGAAAGAGAGAGAGAGAGAAAACAAGCAGGGGAAGGGCAGACAGATAGGGGGACAGAGGATCCAAAGTGGGCTCTGTGCCAACCACAGAGAGCCCAGTGAAGGGCTTCAGCCCGTGAACTGTGAGATGATGACCTGAGCTGAAGTCCGATGCTTAACCAACTGAGCCACCCGGGCGCCCCTGGGTGTTGGCTGTTTTAATGCCGGCTTTGTTTTGGACAAGTGAGCATGATAACTATCAGGTTCCCATTCTGCTTCGTCTGAAACAATTTCCCCTGCAAGAGGGAGTTGGGGAGCATAATGTAAACTAAACACTATGGCTTTTATACTGGAGTTACCTGGTTTTGTGTGACACTGAGACGTCACAGAATGTCAGTGGGGGAAAGGTATTAGATGCTGGCTCTTCTGACTTCATTTTACTAATGAGGAGCCCTGAGACCCACATGTGGTGAGGCCTTGGCTTTGTCACTTACACAGCTAGCCCTTCCTCCTGGATTGTAGTTGGGCGTATAACTGTCTTTCTCCCCACTAGACTGTGGGCAACTTGAGAACTGGTATTAAATTTTACTCGCCTTTATGCTCCCTGTGACACCCGTGTAGGGCTTCCATGCAATAGACACTCAAGAAATATTTGTTGAATGCATACGAAATGAATACTTAGTAGAGATGAATTTTACAGGCCACTAAACTTAGACATTGAAGTAGTATAACAATTTTTTGTATAACCCAATTTAGCCTCTATTTTGAATTCCTTCTCAGCTCTAAAGAAGAAAACTTAATTTTGCCAATTCAAGTTAATTTTGTAGCCTCAGGTTTTTGCAGCTGATTTGGAATGAATACGCAGTCAATTTAGGGTTCTTTTCCTCACCATCTGTCCACGATGGCACTTAGGTCTGATGCGCTCACTTAAGTGTATCTGACACTTGTTTTGCATTTGCATCCCTTTAGGTCCTTTTGCTATTTCAGCCACCAATGTGGGGACCAATTTGTCACCCACCAGCTTGGCCTTATTGAAGCTGAAGTGTGAGATGTTTCAGAAATCACTCAGAGCCCATGCATGCACAGTACAGAAATGGGGAGTTCATGCCCAGTGGGGCAAAGCTTTGAACCATGGGCATGAGGGCTAGCTGGTAATTGCTTCTCAATTTTATCCCCAGGAAGATGCATTTCATATGGTCTCTCAGACTTTCCGTTAGATCAAGCAGCCATCTACCTTTTGCAGTGGCTAACTCAAGAATGCCTTCTTATTTTGGTTCTGCCCCATCCCTGCTTTATTTTCCTGTACCTCATCCTTATTCCTTGGGATCACACTCCCAGGAAGTCTTTGTGTCAAGGCTTTCCTTCCAGGGAGCTTGGGCTAACACACAGTGTGGTGGATCGTGGGCCCGAGGTTGGCCTCTGCCCCTGCTGCCCTGAAATGTACTTATTCCTGTCCTGTTTTTAGTCATCCTCGCCCCTCTGTCCTGCTACCTGCTGAAATGTTTCATTCCCGTCAGTTCCCATTCCTAGCCTTAAAGTCCCTGTGGTGTCGGCGGAGTGGCTTTTCATTGAAGTTCTGAGGCCCGTCCAGATCCGCGACACCGTGGGCCGCAGGGGACATATGAGATGTTTCCCACATGCCACGGGGATCTGTGAGGTTGCGGTGAGGCCTGTCTGCCTAGGATGAATCCATCTTTCCTTTCCTCTCCTAACCCGTGATGGTTTGAAGTGCCTCTGTGAGTCTTTTTGCCTCCCAGAGCAATAGTCAGAGGAGGGAGTGTATGGGGTCTTCCTAATCTTGAATCCAAAATTTATCTGGAAGCTTCATCACCTCCTGCTCCTGACTGGCCTAGGACACCTCACCAATACCTATCTGGCATTTTTCTTGGGCCATCTCTCCCCTACTCTATACCCATTACTCACATGAAATCTTCAGCATATCTGGATGGGAGGGGTGCAATTCATTCTGAGAGAGGAATATTATTCTTTTCCTATTGCTTAGACCAAAGCTTTGCCGTCTGAGACTCAAAAGACATAGGCTCTTGTAACTCAAAAAAAATTTTTCCTCTAAAGACAATTGTATCTGTCTCAAATTAAGAAATTCTCCTGGGAAATTCAGAAACTCAGCACTGGTCACTTTTTTGCTTTTATATTTCTGTCCTCACAACCTGCCCTGGGGCAGTGAAGTCTCTGATACCCTAGCTGCCTATGCTAGGAGAGGACCTTGGGGAACCATGAAATGGCAAATCAGTTAGCAATAGTTTAATGTTTCATGATATTGTCATACCACTAATGTAAGACTGGGCATGGCTGAAATTAAGGCTAATCTTAGGTAAAGTTTTTCTTTGGCATAACCATCATTCCCTGGCTCGGTATTACCCTTCTTTCCTCTTTGTGCCCAGACCTCCATCTTCTACTTCATTAAGATGCTCTAAAGTAGTCACTAAGATAAATTTTACGATATTCCTGAAAGCAAAATATGCTTTTTTTTTATAGGGGCATTGACTTGCAGTTTTGTTGAACTGGGAGTAGACTAAAAGCCCAGTTCAACAAAACTGCAAGTCAATGCCCCAATAAAAAAAAAGCATATTTTGCTTTCAGGAATATCGTAAAATTTATC